TTCAGATAATGATCATCAATCTTCTGCAAACTTCATTCAATGATCTTTGCCTGCCCACACTTTCTCTATTCCACTTTTCAACTCTTTCTCTATCAGCTCGCAATATTTACAGCATTTTCATCAATTTGCAATTGGCTTTGTAAGAGATTTGACAAAATTTCGTAATTTCTTTTTACACAATCTTTTGTGTTCAATTTGTCTCTTTCAATAAAATTCTACAAGGTGGCGATGGCTTGTGGCGATTTCCCAGCCTCTTTCAGTCCCAAATCGGCAAAGAGAGCGGCTTGGATCTGGAGTGGAAAATTGACGAATTTTAAAAATACCCTATGTCAAGTGGTCTGCTACATATTATGACTGTCAACATAATGTGATCTGGCTCTTACTTGAGTTTGTAAAGCATAGATTTATGATTTACGTTAGTGCATCACGCAAGAGCGTTTGCAGAGAAAAATTTTGGGGACGCATTCTAAGATGCACTAGCTACCCTAATCCAAAATTTCCATCGCTTAAAGCTGAATTTTCCCCTTGTTTTTATTCATTTTTCACCGTTTTTCTGTGCCATTTCATCGCAAATTCATCAACATCAACTGCTACAACAGAAGTTAAGTGTTTTTGAGTTTTTTTTTTTTTTGAGAACGGTTCCCTTTGTTTTAATGACTTTTACAGAGAGATGGACGAACACAAATATCACAAAACCCAAAAAAATATTTAAAATTCTTAACTATTTACCAACCTTTCAACCGCGACGTTATTGCTGTTTCTGTTTCAGAGAGATGGACCAACACCAATGTCGAATTGCCAAAACTTTTAACGCAACAACAACAGAAAAAACAATAATGTTGAAAGGTTGGTAAATAGTTAAGAATTTTAAATATTCTTTTGTGTTTTGTGACATTTGTGTTCGTCCATCTCTCTGTTAAAGTCATTAAAACAAAGGGATCCATTCCAGAAAAAAAACTCAAAAGGCTTTGTGTACCATCTACCCTAAACCTCTTGATGGCGTCTTCTCGCGTTCTTTCGCGGAGAAGGTGCTCCTTTCGTATATTTAAGGAGACTTTTTGCCATAAATTTCATTTTATTCAATTCGTTTCGCAGGTGTATGTACTGTAAATACTGTGACAGTACCCCACCGGCCTCTAGTGCGTGCCACGCGGGTGGGGTACTACTATTACAGTATTCACAGGAGCTAGTAATAGTATTTTGTTCGGGACTTTTTCCTTTTATTAATTACGATGTTATCTCTGCTATAATTTCTCATTTAGGGGAGATGTCAGGCCGGAGAACCAACCATTGTTCCAAAAGGACTTCTTGGCACAATTGCCAACGGAGGTTTGTTAAAGCCTGTGGGCGTAATTGTTTAATTTTAGATTGCTTATCACATCATCGCCCATTTGAAACCGCGCGATTTGATGACTTGTGCTGGCGTTTCGCGGACGTGGCAACGGATTTGTGAAGATGATCAGACGTGGCGACAGAGATGTTTTGAGAACGGATATGTGGGATTTGATGCGCCAAGGTTTGTTACAGTTTTGAGCTGATAATATAACAATTAAAAGTACATATCTGGTAGATTTATATTAAGCTAGATTTTAAGACTTGTAGAATATCGGACAGTAATGTTATTCATTCCAAAGGAAACAAGGATATAAAGCGAGGGAAAACATATGATAATGTTTGTTTACATGAACTGGTTCATATTTAGGAAATCGATTGTAAAAAGACTCGTCTCAAACTTGCTTTTTTAGTTTTCGTTTCCTCGGAGGTTGGGCGACGAATCGAGCAAATAGCAAGTGGGGATCACAATCTGTTCACATATGGACCTTCAAGAAGCACAGCAGAATCGACAGGCACGCGAGATAGCATATGGACAGTTAGTGACCGAACTTATTGCAGAATGGAGTTTTTTCTAGATGTTATGAGCGTTCGCCATGGAAGTCGCTGTACTTGCGAAAGAAGCGAATCATTTCGAATTAGCGATCTCGAGCGATTCAATCAAGCACTGTTCTAGAGGTTTGAATAAATGGTTTGACCGAAAAAATGGTTTCTAGGATGACTTTAAATACCCCATTCGTCTACAAGTTGATTCTGGTCGTATCATTGCTGGTACTCAGGATTATAAGTTGCGGGTCTGGAATGTTGATGATCCTCAAGTTTATTTTGTTGAATTATTATTCTACGTTCGAATTTAGCCGGCTTTTACTCTAAATGGTCATCAGAGTCCCCCTTGCTGGTATCAAGTGAGCGAAGATGGCAGATACATTGTCAGGTTGGTTAATAGACTATAGCTAGTGTAATTCATAAGTGTTGCCAATGAAGCTAAAGAGATTCAGGCAAAAATTCTTATGACAACAAAGTCTATTGTAATAGTTCAGTAGCGGGTTTGAGCGAACGGTGCGCGTTTGGTGTGGTCGAACCGGTGCACAGCTTCATGTTTTGCGGGGACATACGGATTCGATTCCATGCATGAGTCTACATGGCACAACGTGAGTGATCTGAATTTTGTGTTTTAGCTAAGATCATAATGTTTTAGTCTTGTTTCTGGTTCGGGGGATCGAACAATCCGAGTCTGGGACATTGTTGACGGAAACTGCCTTCACATTTTGACCGGCCACTTGCGGAGGGTATTTGTATTAAAGTTATGGCTGAAACAAAGCTAAATTCCAGGTGAATTTGGTGAAATTTGATGGAGAACGGGTTGTATCTAATAGTGATGATTTTACCGTAAAGGTTTGTACAGTTATTAGTGCAATTTATAGTATTCTATTAGGTTTGGAATGTACACACGGAGGAGTGTTTGCACACGCTGACCGGTCACACGAGTCTAGTTGCTTCACGTTTGGTGAGTTGAGTTGTCAATTTTTGGCTTTAATCAGGATTCAATTTTAGTTTGAGCCAGAGCGCGATTTTGTCGTGTGGGGTAGTCGGGAAGGAACGATTCGCGTCTGGGATGTGCAAAAAGGAAGTGGGTTTTACCTTTTCACTATTCTGTTACAATGTCATCTATATTTGTTTCTTTCAGGATGCATCGCACATCTTGTTTGTCTTCAAGAGTTAGGGTTCCCAATTCACTTTGAGATGCAGCTTCGCGGAAACATTTTGGTCCGCTGTTATGACTCGGACATTTGAGTATGTTTAATCAATCCTATGAAAACTACTTCCATTTCTTTAGGTTTGGGACATTCGTGAGGGTGGCTCGTGCATTCACCACTTACATGGCGTAAATGGTCAGACGTCGGCCATCACTTCATTGCAATTGCTCGACTCCGGCCTTTTGGTGACAGGTTCGATGAATGACTCGGTCATGCTCTGGGATGTGGACAAAGGTATACTCTTTTAACTTACCGAAAGGACTATGGTAACAAAATCCATACGATAGTCTAGAAAATCCAGACTTCAGGCTTTTATTTAGACTAGTGTTTATAACTACGTAACATGATTCATTGGCGACTTGTCTCGTCAACTATTCAAGCTTAAATCTATGGCAAAGTTTAGTGTCTTGTTAGTTTTTTTCATTTTAAGGTACCTTCGTTCGTGATCTCATTCGATCTCGTTCGGGTTACCCTGGTCGTTATTATTGGGATCTCAAAGCCACGGGAACATTGCTCGTATGTGGAGAGGGGACAAAGATCATCTGCATCGATTTTGACGCAGCATATCCATAGGTATATTTCTATCTTTGCTCTTGTCTAGGCCTTATTGTGATTTTCTGAAGAATTCTGTCGGTTTTTCCATTCTTCTGAACTCTCATTGCTTGTTCCTTTCAATGATTACCTACATTTTATATAGTTGTATGCGATAGTCCTGATTTTTTGAACCTTTCTTTCCATTAACCTGCTGTTAGTCCTTGACCTTCTTGAATGTTTCAGAATCGTCAAGTGCAAACCGTCTTTCAAAGTTACTATTCCTTCGAATTAGTTGGTTGGTTGCTGTCAACGTTTGATTATTTTTAGTCCGTATCGAGTCCTGTGATTCTTTATTTGCTCGATTTTTCAAGATTCAAAAGGTTCAAGATTCAAGTTTTTTTTTCGAGATGCGTAAACAAGTCGATAGAATTTATGAGTGATTGGAAGTGAAAATTTATGAGTGCAAGTCGCAAATTCTCTTGCTTATCACCGATTCTCGTGTCATCACAAAGGGGCATTGTTGTATGAAGAAAAAGGGGGAAAAGAGAAGGAGAAAATCACAGACTAAGTCCAAAAGATCGTAATTCTTAGGAGCTAGACAAAGATCGATCGTCAAATTACACGTACATCTTTCAAATCGTTGATCGTCGACAGATCACAAAATTCAACAATCACTCGTGACTCCCAAAACATACTTGATTCTGCAATTGATCATTTTCGACCATTTCCAGGCCCATCATTCGCATCCCGAAGCAATTTCAAAACGATGAGAATGTTCTAATAATCGCCGCGAATCAATACGAACCTTGGGCAACTGGCGATCCCGACCAATCTGGCCGATTTTATTTTCTTTTCCGTCGAACAGCGTTCAGTTTTCAGGAGAGGCCCTTTTCATCTTACTAGGTCCAAATTGCTGTCAAATGCAAGGTCAGGGACTTTTAAACTTTGTACAGAAAAACTTTGAAATGCCCTTCCTTTAACTTTATGCATTTTATTTAGATTTAAAGCGGTGAGATATAGATTCTTGAATCTTGAAAAATCGAGCAAATAAAGAATCACAGGACTCGATACGGACTAAAAATAATCGAACGTTGACAGCAACCAACCAACTAATGCGAAAAAATAGTAATTTTGAAAGATGGTCTGCACTTTTGAAAACGATTTTGAAAGATTCAAAAAGGTCAATGACTAACACCAGGTTAGTGGAAAAAAAAAGGTTCACAAAATCAAGACTATCACATACAAGTGTGTAAAATGTGGGTAACCACTGAAAGGAAATCACAAGTAATGAAAGTTCAGAGGAATGGAAATACCGACAGAATTCTTCGGGAAATCACAATAAGGCCCAGGCAAAGAGCAAAAATACAAATATACCTATGGATATGATGCGTCAAAATCGATCAAGATGATCTTCGCCTCATCTAACGATCGGTCTTCACAAACTCGAACTCCACAGACGAGTAATGTTTCAGAGGCTTCGAGATTCCAATAATAATGGCGATGGTCAACCAATGGAAGACGAATGAGATCACGAACAAAGATACCTTAAATTGCAAAATTCTCGTATAGTTGATAAAAAATTAACAACAGAATACTAACTATCAACATATTTCTAAGCTTGAATCGTCAATGAATCATGTTACGTAGTTATAAACACTAGTCTAAATAAAAGCTAGAAGTTTGGATTTTCTAGACTATCGTATGGATTTTGTTACCATAGTCCTATCGGTAACTTAAAAGAGTATACCTTTGTCCACATCCCAGAGCATGACCGAGCCATTAATCGAACCTGTCACCAAAAGGCCGGAGTCGAGCAATTGTAATGAAGTGATGGCCGACGTACGACCATTTACGTCATGTAAGTGGTGAAGGCACGAGCCACCCTCACGAATGTCCCAAACCTAAAGAAATGGAAGTAGTTTTCATAGGATTGATTAAACATACCTTAACTTCCGAGGCGTAATAGCAGGCCAAAATGTTTCCGCGAAGCTGCATCCCAAAGTAACCACTGAGCCGTGACCCTTCATGAAAGACAATATTTGCGATGCATGCTGAAAGAAACAAATATAGATGACATTGTAACAGAATAGTGAACAAGTAAAAACGCACTTCCTCTTTGCACATCCCAGACGCGAATAGTTCCGTCACGACTGCCCGAAACGACAAGATCGCGCTCTGGCTCAAACTAAAACAGAATCCTCATTAAAGCCAAAATTTGACAACTCAACTCACCAAAAGAGAATTGATCCTTTCCGTGTGACCGGTCAGCATGTGCAAACACTCTTCCGTGTGTACATTCCAAACCTAATAGAATATCATAAATTGCACTAATAACTGTACAAACGTTTACGGCAAAAGCTTGGCCATCAAATACAACCCGTTCTCCATCAAATTTCACAAAACTGACCTGAAATTTAGCGTTGTTTAAGCCCTAACTTTAATCCACATACCCACGCCTCGCCAGCCAAAATGTGAAGGCATTTCCCGTGGACAATGTCCCAGACACGGAGTGTTTGATCCCACGATCCAGAAACAAGACTAAAACATTATGATCTTAGCTCAACAAAAAATTCCGATCGCTCACGTTGTCCCATGTAGACTCAGGCATGAAATCCTATCCGTATGTCCCTGCAAAACATGAAGCTGTGCATCGGTTTGACCACACCAAACGCGCAACGTTTCATGAAACCCGCCACTGAAATATTACAATAGAATTTGTTGTCATAAGAATTTCTGTTTGAATCGTTTTAGCTTCATTGGCAACTCTCATGAATTGCACTAGCTATAATCTATTAACTAACCAGACAATGTATTTGCGATCTTCGCTCACTTAATACGAATAAAGGAGACCATTCTGACCAGTTAGAGGAAAAGCCGGCTAAATTCGGACGTGCAATAATAATTAAACAAAACAAACTTGAGCATCTTCAACATTCCAGACCCGCCACTTATAATCATGAGAACCAGTAATGATAAGACCAGGGTGAACTTGTAGAGGAATGGCGTATTTAAAGTCATCCTAAAAACCATTTTTTCGGTCCAACCATTTATTCAAACCTCTAGAACAGCGCTTGATTGAATCGCCCGGGATCGCCAATTCGAAACGATTCGCTTCTTTCGCAAGTACAGCGACTTCCATGGCGAACGCTCATAACATCTAGAAAAAACTCCATTCTGCAATAAGTTCGGTCACTAACTGTCCATATGCGATCTCGCGTGCCTGTCGATTCTGCTGTACTTCCTGAAGGTCCATATGTGAACAGATTGTTATTCCCGCTTGCTCATTTGCTCGATTCGCCGCCCAACCTCCGAGAAAACGAAAACTAAAATAACAAGTTTGAGACGAGTCTTTTTACAATTGATTTCCCAAATATGAAACAGTTCATCTAAACATTATCATATGCTTTATATCCTTGTTTCCTTTGGAATGAATAACATTACTGTCCAATATTCTACAAGTCTTAAAATCTAGCTTAATATAAATCTACCAGATACGTATTTTTAATTGTTATATTATCAGCTCAAAACTGTAACAAACCTTGGCGCATCAAATTCCACATATCCGTTCTCGAAACATTTCTGTCGCCAAGTCTGATCATCTTCACAAATCCGTTGCCACGTCCGTGAAACGCCAGCACAAGTCATCAAATCGCGCGGGGTCAAATGGGCGATGATGCGATAAGCAATCTAACATTAAACAATTACTCCCACAGGCTTTAACAAACCTCCTTTGGCAATTGTACCAAGAAGTCCTTTTGGAACAATGGTTGGTTCTCCGGAGTTGGGTCTTGGAGTTGAGTCTTGCTGCTCTCCTGTTTATTCGACATCTCCACTAAATGAAAAATTACAGCAGAGATAACATCGTAATTAATAAAAGGAAAAGTCCCCGAACAAAATACTAATACTAGCTCCTGTAAACACTGTAAGAGTACCCCGCCCATGTGGCACGCACTAGAGGCCGGTGATCTATCACAGGATTTACGGTACATACACCTGCTGAACCAATTGCAAAGAATGAAATTTATGGCAAAAAATTTCTTAAATATACGAAAGGAGCACGTTTTAGAAGGCACCATCAAGAGGTTTACGGTAGAACGGTAGAATGTTTAAAATTCTGCCGATAAACTTCACCTTACCTACGAGGATGTACACAAAACGATATTTGGTGGTTCCACTTTTCAGAAAGCTCTATTTCATTGCGCTTTTTAGCACTTCACCCGCAAAATACCCTTTTGTGCACATTCTCGTATGTAAGCTATCGACCATTGCAGTCATTCTGTTTCCGATTCCGATCATTTTACTCAGCGTTTAGTGATCAATGAAGATTATCACTAGATCAATGAGGATCTTGATCAATAGTGATTATTATAAAAAGAAGATCAATAGCCAAGTCTACGTCTTAATCCCCTTATTAGCTCAGTCAGAATGGAAAGCCCAGGTCCAGACTTTTATCTTTTCGACTCTTGTTTTCGATTTTCGGCGGTATTAAGGTTAAAAAGCTATCGACCATTGCAGTCATTCTCTTTCCGATTCCGATCATTTCTCTTAAAAAACGGATCGTGAGTTTTTTTGAAAAGGTTTTGATCGAATTTGACTTTTTTGACTGTTGAATCAAAAGAATATCTGACTACAAGCATAATTTCAAACAAAATCAGGCTAGATCTTGTTTAGATTCGATCAAAACTGAACCTTGGGAAGCCTTGGCCAGATCCCACAGGCCAGAGAGGCCAGTGGAATATTTACTATTGGTAATCGAACTTTAAGCTCAAATTTCTTTGGATTGGGCGAAAGAATTTCAATAGTTTTTATACCAATCGATGGAGAAAGACTAGATGCATCTAATAAAACCAAAATGTAGAAATTAAATAGCTAAACACCAAGATATTCGAGCTTAAAGTCGGATTGTCAATGGAAAAGACAAAGCCAAGTTTTTGAAAAGGCCAAATTCAAGCCAAAATCAAGCCAAAATCAAGCCGAAACCAATGGCCTTTATTTGCCATTGGTATTGGTATTTGCCTGGTTTTTCAGCCTTACCATTGAATTGGCTTAAAACCTTGGCTTTGGCTTGGCCTAGAATGAACAAAAGGATGCAACTTGACTCTTTCGCATTGGCCATTCGGTCTGAGCATTCCGGGTCAAATCTTGCAATTTGCCTCTCTTGAACAGTCTTCTAGTGTCGATCTATCACAAGAACACGATTTGCACGCAGCGTTTCATGCTTTATATGGGCATTGTTGGGTTGCCAACGCTGGTAGATGTCAAGATTTTGCAAGCTTTCGAGTCACTGATGTCGCTATTTAGATCTTGTATCGCGGCTGAGAAGGCCAATCCACAAGATTAGAGATTGGCAGACAAAGAAAATAGACAAGGCCAGGCTTGGAAGCCAGAAGCTGGCGCAAGGAATCTGACCGATCCTTGTTCAGCAATTTCATTACCCTTGGTCAAATGGGTTGCGATGTGACGCCTTTCAAACAATACAACAACATTCGTAGCATCAACGCTTTGAGATCCAAGTGATTTGCTTTCGATAATGGTTCCTCCATTGTTTGGTTCATTGGCCCAAGAATGTGAAGCTTGATGAGGCTTATTGCCAAGCCAACTTGGCAATAATATAGCAATCTGGCACGACCCTCAACGGCTCTTGAGCGCTTTATCAACTCAGCGCTGGATTTCCCGGAAGCTACCATCATTCAATGGAAAATGTGCAGTCTGTTCTACTGCTTGTACTCAAGATCTCGAGTAGTAACTGTGAGTTTCAATTTTAAATTTTAAATAAACTTTTTACGCTGTGAATCTCCTAGTTTCAGTATCGACGCTTCTCAAAGGAAAATATTAATTGGTTGATATATTTGATGAAAAGAGTTGTCGACGAGGATTTTGTCGTCAAAGTGATCTTCAATGCGGAGCGATCGGCATTCATTAGAGAGATTTCCAAGGCCAGACGTCAGTCCAAGTTTGGTCAGAACTGGTCATGAGCTGGTTGCTTGACCAACCTCTCCTGCTAACCTGACCTGATTTCTGTTGGTTAAATCTTACTATCTAGTCTTGTCACCTAATCTAGCAGGATCAGCTTGGGTCAAATCTAACGAATTGGCTTTGCTAGTATGACCTAACTTGGCATGAATCTGGTTCCTAACTCTGGCTTAGGCTTGGTTTAGGCTCAGGCTTAGGCTAAAGCTTGGACTTAGTGCGAAGGCTAGCGGCTAGCGCCTCGCACGAAGTCTATTTGGGTTTGGGCTAAACCCCCATTTTCTGGATCTCGGCCAGTTCTCAGAGCTAAGAGACAAGCGCTTCGCGATGCTCATGCGTTAGGCTTAGGCTTAGGCTCCACGTAAGAGATCTGAGTGAAACAAATCTAATTTTGGCGACTGGCTTGGTGTTTGAGTTATTCTTGGCTAGCCGAGAACAGCTTTGCTTGATCTGTTTCTATCAGATCTATTTGATAGAGCTAGAACTAGAGCTAGAGCTGGTTACAGTTAGAGTATTCTATAGGCAACCAAATCCTAGTAGACCAGAACAAGAGGGTGAGTTGGCTTAGGATCAGGCTTAGGCTCAGTCTCAGACTTAGGCTTGGCTTTAGCTTCTCAAGAAATCCGGCCTGCTTTCTAAAGTCAGCCGTAAGTGAGTTGAATCTCTACCGTACTGCATCCATGTTTATTTGTGGTACAAACGGCGCCTCGACGATCAAGATTTATATGCGGTTGTGAAAAAGGTTGTTGTCGTTTTTCTTTAAGAATTTTTCATTTACATCTTCGCCACAGTGCACCCGAATCAACGGCAGAGGAATTGATTTCAAAAACACTTTTGATAATTCAAATTTATCCGATTACACACAAATACTCTCTAAAAAATACCCTGCAAACTGGCCAAAAAAACGTAAGAAGAACCAAGGAATTCAAGAATGAAAGGTAGTGCATTGAAATATCGCTAAAAATACTGTAAGAACCCGCATAAAATCAGAAAATCGATGTGTCAATAAGGAATGTCAAATAGTCAAATTATCAAAAATGGAGAGACTTAGGGCAAAGAAGTTTACAGTAAAAGTACAGTTTTTACTGGACAATCAGCCTAGTGCCTTCCAGATCTTAGAATCTACTCAAAAAATCGTCTAGAAGATGAACGGAGAGGTGACCACGCTCGTGTACTTGATCGAGGTCACGAAGGGTGGAGAGCTAAAAAGTGATCTAGATACCATAACATAACTTCTTTTTGTAGCATGAGATCCAGAATTTAGAAATTTGATCTTAAAAAGGCGATTAACCGTTTTATAGTATTTGATTGGACTTGAAGTCATAGAGAGAGCTGAATCTGTTATAAATGATGATCAAGCTACAGTAACTCGACCTTTTTTAAGCTGACATTCAGGATTTAGATATCAGTGAGATTCTTTTGGCCATAATTCTTTTTTTGACGCTATTTCACCTGGGTCTCGTTTGCTCCAACGGCGAGAAACTCGTAAATCATTGATCGATAGATTTGAGTGGCTGTTTTTGTGTCATCTGAACAATTTGTGATTGTTCCCTTGCCGTAATCGTTGCTTCAAGCCAAAATGCTGATTTTTTTAAAACAATTACCGCCGCCGTTCCCCTTCTCGACAACATCATCAAAGTCGACGAATAACGGGATGAGTTCGGGGTTGAAAACGAACTGAAATTTGAAATTTTCTTGAAATTTCTTCGATCTGGAGCTCACAGCAGTATTTCACAAACTTGTTGCCTTCGAAAGTCCCGAAAATCGATTTCGGAGTTTCGGAGGAGGAAACCGGTGATCTGATGGACGATGGCGATCCGTTGCCGTAAAGTGACAGCCAGCAGGGATAAAGTAGTCACTGTCTGGCCTTTTTCAGTCAAAAT